GGATGAGCTATGAAACAGTCTGTCTGTGGATGACTATATATATATATATATATATATATATATATGTGTGTGTGTGTGTGTGTGTGTGTGTGTGTGTGTGAAAAGTGTATATAAATATAAATAAATATATATATGTATAATTATTTATATATTATATGCGCGGTACTTATTAGAAAGCGCTCAATATCAGAGATAGAGCTAACATATTTGGTTGGATAGATGTGAGTTTGTGACCCTGGGTTTCACGCTTATATATATATATATTATGGAATGGACAAAGTCCGACAATTATTTTAAGACATTTTTATGTTTATACATTATTTGTATAGAAACACTAGATTGGCGTCAAGCCTCCCTCGACATTTTACAGTTGAAATGGCTACATGCAACTGTAAGTTCTATGCTAACAGTTTCCTCTATGGCAATTCTCGTTTGTGCAGTTCTTCTTCCGGCTTCTTGCTTGCCAGTCATAAATTTAAATGCAATGACAATCGTTATCTTCTGCTTTCTTAATTGTTCCTTCGACTATTTGCTCTCTAATAAGAGTATATTTTTCTCATATTCTCTAACAATCCGTAATTCTTTGTGTCTTAGTGGCTTTATTGCCTTCATTGGAGTGACATGATTAAAAAAAACTCTTCCGTTCTGATGGCTTTATTCCTTAGCACTCTGTCGGCTTCTTCCTTTCCAGTCAACTTGGATCTTCTATAATACATATGCAAATGTCAATCATTATCTTCTCTCTTCATGTTCTTTTATTTTTCTCTCTCTTTAATAGTGTTTTTTCTCATATTCTCTAACACTCAGTAACCCTTTGCGTCTAAGTGGCTTTATTGCAATGTTTAAAAATAACCGCCATTTTATGCATATGGAATATAGGATTATATTTATTTCATTCATTTTTTCAGTGAAACCAATAAGCGTATATTTTTAATTCTTTCAAGAACGAAGAGTTTAACAGTTGTTTCATTAAAATAAAAATTTGTCAATTTCAATTATTTTCGTTTGTACACACTTCTTAAAATAAGGACGAGCATCCATTGTTATTGCAATGTAATATTAAAATTTTAAGGCTCAAATATTTAACGATGCTATAGGGAATTTCTCCGAGAGTTCCTTCAGTCATTAACTTATGAAACAAGATTAAAATAGTAAAACCGTGAAATTTTTACGGGACTTTCAGGGTTAAATAAGTTTATGATTTCTTTCATTATATATTCTCTCCAGCTAATATCAAACTTTATATATTCAATCAAAATTATAATCGCATGAAGTTTTTTTTCCTTTTCCCTTCTTGCCACATGTTGAATGTGTTTCTGCCTTGTAGCATTTATTCTTATTAATTTCTCGAGATCTGATCTTCCTTTTTGAATAACACTGTAGATCTGATCCTCCTTTCTGAATAACCCTGTAGATCTGACCCTCCTTTTCAAATAACCGTGTAGATCTGATGCTCCATTTTGAATAACCATGTAGATCAGATCCTCCTTTTTGAATAAACCTGTAGATCTGATCCTCCTTTCTGAATAACCCTGTTGATCTGATCCTTCTTTCTGAATAACCCTGTAGATCTGATCCTCCATTTTGAATAAACCTGTAGATCAGATCCTCCTTTCTGAATAACCCTCCAGATCTGATCCCCCGTTTTTGAACAACCCTGTTGATCTGATCCTCCTTTCTGAATAACCCTGTAGATCTCCCTCCTTTTCGAATAACCGTATAGAACTGATCCTCCATATTGAATAACATGTAGATCTGATCCTCCTTTTTGAATAAACCTGTAGATCTGATCCTCCTTTCTGAATAACCCTGTAGATCTGATCCCCCGTTTTTGAACAACCCTGTTGATCTGATCCTTCTTTCTGAATAACCCTGTAGATCTGACCTCCTTTTTGAATAACCCTGTAGATCTGATGCTCCATTTTGAATAACCATTTAGATCTGATCATCCTTTTTGAATAAACCTGTAGATCTGATCCATATTTTTGAATAACCATGTAGATCTTACCCTCCTTTTAGAATAACCCTGTAGATCAGATCCTCCTTTTTGAATAAACCTGTAGATCTGATCCTCCTTTCTGAATAACCCTGTTGATCTGATCCTTCTTTCTGAATAACCCTGTAGATCTGATCCTCCATTTTGAATAAACCTGTAGATCAGATCCTCCTTTCTGAATAACCCTCCAGATCTGATCCCCCGTTTTTGAACAACCCTGTTGATCTGATCCTCCTTTCTGAATAACTCTGTAGATCTCCCTCCTTTTCGAATAACCGTATAGATCTGATCCTCCATATTGAATAACATGTAGATCTGATACTCCTTTTTGAATAAACCTGTAGATCTGATCCTCCTTTCTGAATAACCCTGTAGATCTGATCCCCCGTTTTTGAACAACCCTGTTGATCTGATCCTTCTTTCTGAATAAGCCTGTAGATCTGACCCTCCTTTTTGAATAACCCTGTAAATCTGATCCTCCATTTTGAATAACCATTTAGATCTGATCATCCTTTTTGAATAAACCTGTAGATCTGATCCTCCTTTTTGAACAACCATGTAGATCTTACCCTCCTTTTTAAATAACCCTGTAGATCTGATCCTCCATTTTGAATAACCATGTAGATATGAGCCCCTTTTTGAATAAACCTGTAGATCTGATCCTCCTTTCTGAATAACCCGCTAGATCTGATCCCCCGTTTTTGAACAACCCTCTTGATCTGATCCTCCTTTCTGAATAACCCTGTAGATCTGATCCTCCTTTTTGAATAACCATGTAGATCTTACCCTCCTTTTTGAATAACCCTGTAGATCTGATCCTCCATTTTGAATAACCATGTAGATCTGATCCCCCTTTTTGAATAAACCAGTAGATCTGATCCTCCTTTCTGAATAACCCGCTAGATCTGATCCCCCGTTTTTGAACAACCCTCTTGATCTGATCCTCCTTTCTGAATAACCCTATAGATCTGACCCTCCTTTTTGAATAACCCTGTAGATCTGATCCTCCATTTTGAATAACCATGTAGATCTGATCCTCCTTTTTGAATAAACCTGTAGATCTGATGCTCCTTTGTGAATAACCCTCTAGATTTGATCCCCCGTTTTTGAACAACCCTGTTGATCTGATCCTCCTTTCTGAATAACCCTGTAGATCTGACCCTTCTTTTCGAATAACCGTGTAGATCTGATCCTTCATTTTGAATAACATTTAGATCTGATCCTCCTTTTTGAATAAACCTGTAGATCTGATCCCCCTTTCTGAATAACCCTCTAGATCTGATCCTCCGTTTTTTAACAACCCTGTTGATCTGATCCTCCTTTCTGAATAGCCCTGTAGATCTGACCCTACTTTTTGAATAACCCTGTAGATCTGATCCTCCATTTTGAATAGCCCTCTAGATTTGATCCCCCGTTTTTTAACAACCCTGTTGATCTGATCCTCCTTTCTGAATAACCCTGTAGATCTGACCCTCCTTTTCGAATAACCGTGTAGATCTGATCCTTCATATTGAATAACATGTAGATCTGATCCTACTTTTTGAATAAACCTGTAGATCTGATCCCACTTTCTGAATAACCCTCTAGATCTGATCCTCCGTTTTTGAACAACCCTGTTGATCTGATCCTCCTTTCTGAATAGCCCTGTAGATCTGACCCTCTTTTTTGGATAACCCAGTATATCTGATCCTCCATTTTGAATAACCCTCTAGATCTGATCCCCCGTTTTTGAACAACCCTGTTGATCTGAACCTACTTTCTGAATAACCCTGTAGATCTGATCCTCCTTTCTGAATAACCCTGTAGATCTCCCTTCTTTTCGAATAACCATGTAGATCTGATCCTCCATGTTGAATAACATGTAGATCTGATCCTCCTTTCTGAATAACCCTCTGGATCTGATACCGCGTTTTTGAACAACCCTGTTGATATGATCCTTCTTTTCTGAATAACCCTGTAGATCTGACCCCACTTTTTGAATAACCCTGTATATCTGATCCTCCATTATGAATAACCATGTAGATCTGAAACTCCTTTCTGAATAACTTTCTAGATTTGATCCCCCGTTTTTGAACAACCCTGTTGATCTGATCCTCCTTTAGGAATAACCCTGTAGATCTCCCTCCTTTTCGAATACACGTGTAGATCTGATCCTCCATTTTGAATAACATGTAGACCTGATCCTCCTTTATGAATAAACCTGTAGATCTGATCCTCCTTTCTGAATAACCCTGTAGATCTGATCCCCCGTTTTTAAACAACCCTGTTGATCTGATCCTCTTTTCTGAATAAATTATATATTCTCTACAGCTAATATCAAACTTTATATATTCAATCAAAATTATAATCGCATGAAGTTTTTTTCCTTTTCCCTTCTTGCCACATGTTGAATGTGTTTCTGCCTTGTAGCATTTATTCTTATTAATTTCTCGAGATCTGATCTTACTTTTTGAATAACACTGTAGATCTGATCCTCCTTTCTGAATAACCCTGTAGATCTGACACTCCTTTTCGAATAACCGTGTAGATCTGATCCTCCATTTTGAATAACCCTCTAGATTTGATCCCCCGTTTTTGAACAAACCTGTTGATCTGATCCTCCTTTCTGAAAAACCCTGTAGATATGACCCTCCTTTTCGAATAACCGTGTAGATCTGATCCTTCATTTTGAATAACATGTAGATCTGATCCTCCTTTTTGAATAAACCTGTAGATCTGATCCCCCTTTCTGAATAACACTCTAGATCTGATCCTCCGTTTTTAACAACCCTGTTGATCTGATCCTCCTTTCTGAATAGCCCTGTAGATCTGACCTTCTTTTTTGGATAACCCTGTATATGTGATCCTCCATTTTGAATAACCATGTAGATCTGATCCTCCTTTTTGAATGAACCTGTAGATCTGATTCTCCTTTCTGAATAACCCTATAGATCTGATCCCCTGTTTTTGAACAACCCTGTTGATCTGATCCTCCTTTCTGAATAACCATGTAGATCTGACCAACCTTTTCGAATAACCGTGTAGATCTGATCCTTCATTTTGAATAACATGTAGATCTGATCATCCTTTTTGAATAAACCTGTAGATCTGATCCCCTTTCTGAATAACCCTCTAGATCTGATTCTCCGTTTTTGAACAACCCTCTTGATCTGATCCTCCTTTCTGAATAACCCTATAGATCTGACCCTCCTTTTTGAATAACCCTGTAGATCTGATCCTCCATTTTGAATAACCATGTAGATCTGATCCTCCTTTTTGAATAAACCTGTAGATCTGATCCTCCTTTGTGAATAACCCTCTAGATTTGATCCCCCGTTTTTGAACAACCCTGTTGATCTGATCCTCCTTTCTGAATAACCCTGTAGATCTGACCCTTCTTTCCGAATAACCGTGTAGATCTGATCCTTCATTTTGAAAAACATGTAGATCTGATCCTCCTTTTTGAATAAACCTGTAGATCTGACCCCCCTTCCTGAATAACCCTCTAGATCTGATACTCCGTTTTTTAACAACCCTGTTGATCAGATCCTCCTTTCTGAATAGCCCTGTAGATCTGACCCTACTTTTTGAATAACCCTGTAGATCTGATCCTCCATTTTGAATAGCCCTCTAGATTTGATCCCCCGTTTTTTAACAACCCTGTTGATCTGATCCTCCTTTCTGAATAACCCTGTAGATCTGACCCTCCTTTTCGAATAACCGTGTAGATCTGATCCTTCATATTGAATAACATGTAGATCTGATCCTCCTTTTTGAATAAACCTGTAGATCTGATCCCCCTTTCTGAATAACCCTCTAGATCTGATCCTCCGTTTTTGAACAACCCTGTTGATCTGATCCTCCTTTCTGAATAGCCCTGTAGATCTGACCCTCTTTTTTGGATAACCCAGTATATCTGATCCTCCATTTTGAATAACCCTCTAGATCTGATCCCCCGTTTTTGAACAACCCTGTTGATCTGAACCTACTTTCTGAATAACCCTGTAGATCTGATACTCCTTTCTGAATAACCCTGTAGATCTCCCTTCTTTTCGAATAACCGTGTAGATCTGATCCTCCATGTTGAATAACATGTAGATCTGATCCTCCTTTCTGAATAACCCTCTGGATCTGATACCGCGTTTTTGAACAACCCTGTTGATCTGATCCTCCTTTCTGAATAACCCTGTAGATCTGACCCCACTTTTTGAATAACCCTGTATATCTGATCCTCCATTATGAATAACCATGTAGATCTGATCCTCCTTTTTGAATAAACCTGTAGATCTGAAACTCCTTTCTGAATAACTCTCTAGATTTGATCCCCCGTTTTTGAACAACCCTGTTGATCTGATCCTCCTTTAGGAATAACCCTGTAGATCTCCCTCCTTTTCGAATACCCGTGTAGATCTGATCCTCCATTTTGAATAACATGTAGACCTGATCCTCCTTTATGAATAAACCTGTAGATCTGATCCTCCTTTCTGAATAACCCTGTAGATCTGATCCCCCGTTTTTAAACAACCCTGTTGATCTGATCCTCCTTTCTGAATAAATTATATATTCTCTCCAGCTAATATCAAACTTTATATATTCAATCAAAATTATAATCGCATGAAGTTTTTTTCCTTTTCCCTTCTTGCCACATGTTGAATGTGTTTCTGCCTTGTAGCATTTATTCTTATTAATTTCTCGAGATCTGATCTTCCTTTTTCAATAACACTGTAGATCTGATCCTCCTTTCTGAATAACCCTCTAGATTTGATCCCCCGTTTTTGAACAAACCTGTTGATCTGATCCTCCTTTCTGAAAAACCCTGTAGATCTGACCCTCCTTTTCGAATAACCGTGTAGATCTGATCCTTCATTTTGAATAACATGTAGATCTGATCCTCCTTTTTGAATAAACCTGTAGATCTGATCCCCCTTTCTGAATAACACTCTAGATCTGATCCTCCGTTTTTAACAACCCTGTTGATCTGATCCTCCTTTCTGAATAGCCCTGTAGATCTGACCCTCTTTTTTGGATAACCCTGTATATCTGATCCTCCATTTTGAATAACCATGTAGATCTGATCCTCCTTTTTGAATGAACCTGTAGATCTGATTCTCCTTTCTGAATAACCCTATATATCTGATCCCCTGTTTTTGAACAACCCTGTTGATCTGATCCTCCTTTCTGAATAACCCTGTAGATCTGACCAACCTTTTCGAATAACCGTGTAGATCTGATCCTTCATTTTGAATAACATGTAGATCTGATCATCCTTTTTGAATAAACCTGTAGATCTGATCCCCTTTCTGAATAACCCTCTAGATCTGATTCTCCGTTTTTGAACAACCCTGTTGATCTGATCCTCCTTTTTGGATAACCCTGTAGATCTGATCCTCCATTTTGAATAACCATGTAGATCTGATCCTCCTTTTTGAATAAACCTATAGATCTGATCCTCCTTTCTGAATAACCCTGTAGATCTGATCCCCCGTTTTTGAACAACCCTGTTGATCTGATCCTCCTTTGTGAATAACCCTGTAGATCTGACCCTCCTTTTTGAATAACCCTGTAAATCTGATCCTCCATTTTGAATAACCATTTAGATCTGATCCTCCGTTTTGAATAAACCTGTAGATCTGATCCTCCTTTTTGAATAAACCTGTAGATCTGACCCTCCTTTTTGAATAACCCTGTAGATCTGATCCTCCATTTTGAATAACCATGTAGATCTGATCCTCTTTTTTGAATAAACCTGTAGCTCTGATCCTCCTTTCTGAATAACCCGCTAGATCTGATCCCCCGTTTTTGAACAACCCTCTTGATCTGATCCTCCTTTCTGAATAACCCTGTAGATCTGATCCTCCATTTTGAATAACCATGTAGATCTGATCCTCCTTTTTGAATAAACCTGTAGATCTGATCCTCCTTTCTGAATAACCCTCTAGATTTGATCCCCCGTTTTTGAACAACCCTGTTGATCTGATCCTCCTTTCTGAATAACCCTGTAGATCTGACCCTCCTTTTCGAATAACCGTGTAGATCTGATCCTTCATTTTGAATAACATGTAGATCTGATCCTCCTTTTTGAATAAACCTGTAGATCTGATCCCCTTTCTGAATAACCCTCTAGATCTGATCCTCCGTTTTTTAACAACCCTGTTGATCTGATCCTCCTTTCTGAATAGCCCTGTAGATCTGACTCTCCTTTTTTAATAACCCTGTAGATCTGATCCCCCATTTTGAATAACCCTCTAGATTTGATCCCCCGTTTTTGAACAACCCTGTTAAACTGATCCTCCTTTCTGAATAACCCTGTAGATCTGACCCTCCTTTTCGAATAACCGTGTAGATCTGATCCTTCATTTTGAATAACATGTAGATCTGATCCTCTTTTTTGAATAAACCTGTAGATCTGATCCTCCTTTCTGAATAACCCTCTAGATTTGATCCCCCGTTTTTGAACTACCCTGTTGATCTGATCCTCCTTTCTGAATAACCCTGTAGATCTGACCCTCCTTTTCGAATAACCGTGTAGATCTGATCCTTCATTTTGAATAACATGTAGATCTGATCCTCCTTTTTTTAATAAACCTGTAGATCTGATCCCCTTTCTGAATAACCCTCTAGATCTGATCCTCCGTTTTTTTTAACCCTGTTGATCTGATCCTCCTTTCTGAATAGCCCTGTAGATCTGACCCTAATTTTTTGGATAACCCTGTAGATCTGATCCTCCATTTTGAATAACCATGTAGATCTGATCCTCCTTTTTGTATAAACCTGTAGATCTGATTCTCCTTTCTGAATAACGCTCTAGATCTGATCCTCGTTTTTGAACAACCCTGTTGATCTGATCCTCCTTTCTGAATAACCCTGTAGATCTGACCCTCCTTTTCGAATAACCGTTTCTGGTCCTTCATTTTGAATAACATGTAGATCTGATCCTCCTTTTGAATAAACCTGTAGATCTGATCCCCCTTTCTGAATAACCCTCTAGATCTGATTCTCCGTTTTTGAATAACCCTGTTGATCTGATCCTCCTTTCTGAATAGCCCTGTAGATCTGACCCTCCTTTTTGGATAACCCTGTAGATCTGATCCTCCATTTTGAATAACCATGTAGATCTGATCCTCCTTTTTGAATAAACCTGTAGATCTGATCCTCTTTTCTGAATAACCCTCTAAATCTGATCCCCCGTTTTTGGACAACACTGTTGATCTGATCCTCCTTTCTGAATAACCCTGTAGATCTGACCCTCCTTTTAGAATAACCCTGTAGATCTGATCCTCCATTTTGAATAACCATGTAGATCTGATCCTCCTTTTTGAATAAACCTGTAGATCTGATACTCTTTTCTGAATAACCCTCTAGATCTGATCCCCCGTTTCTGAACAACCCTGTTGATCTGATCCTCCTTTCTGAATAACCCTGTAGAACTGACCCTCCTTTTAGAATAACCCTGTAGATCTGATACTCCATATTGAATAACATGTAGATCTGATCCTCCTTTTTGAATAAATCTGTAGATCTGATCATCCTTTCTGAATAACCCTCTGGATCTGACCCCGCGTTTTTGAACAACCCTGTTGATCTGATCCTCTTTTCTGAATAACCCTGTAGATCTGACCCCACTGTTTGAATAACTCAGTATATCTGATCCTCCATTTTGAATAACCATGTAGATCTGATCCTACTTTTTGAATAACCCTGTAAATCTGATCCTCCATTTTGAATAACCATTTAGATCTGATCCTCCGTTTTGAATAAACCTGTAGATCTGATCCTCCTTTTTGAATAAACCTGTAGATCTGACCCTCCTTTTTGAATAACCCTGTAGATCTGATCCTCCATTTTGAATAACCATGTAGATCTGATCCTCTTTTTTGAATAAACCTGTAGCTCTGATCCTCCTTTTTTGAATAACCCGCTAGATCTGAGTTTTTGAACAACCCTCTTGATCTGATCCTCCTTTCTGAATAACCCTGTAGATCTGATCCTCCATTTTGAATAACCATGTAGATCTGATCCTCCTTTTGAATAAACCTGTAGATCTGATCCTCCTTTCTGAATAACCCTCTAG